CTTGACATTCAGGCAGCTTAAAATTTTTTTTGCCAAAAACTTCCCCATTTTCCTGTCCTGTATTCAGAGAAAGCAGTTAGGACATTTTTACCTGAACTTAAGAGTCACAGGACTGTTCTCACAGTAGACTCCTTAGCGGAGCAGCGACCTCCCTCATAGTGCAGATGGGTGTCCTGGGGTGCCGGGGCATTGCAGTTTTTCCTGCATTTGGTTTCAGGAATTACATGAATGACAGCCTCCGCACAGACGTGTTTGTGAGGTTCCAGCCGGAGAGCATCGCCTGTGCCTGCATTTACCTTGCTGCCCGGACGCTGGAGGTCAGTGCTGCACCACCACGGGACTCCAGCCTACAGCGCACTTTGTGTAGTGTTCTTCACACTGTACTCAGTGGTCAATGAGAAGCCTGTTTATCTCCAGAGAGAGTGGGAGGGAGGGGGGTGGAGAGAGAGAGAGAGAGAGAGAGACATCGATTGGTTGCCTCCCGTATGACCCTGACCAGGGCCGGGGACTAAACCCTAACCAAGGTACGTGCCCCTGACCAGAATGAAACCTAAGACTGTTTGGCCTGTGGGCTGACACTCGAACTGTTAAGCCAAACCAGTCAGGACATAGCAGGCTTGTTTTTACTGCACTAACAACCTTGTTGGCCATGAGGACGAGAATAAACTGATGGCATTTGTGTTTTCAGATTCCTTTGCCCAATCGTCCCCATTGGTTTCTTTTGTTTGGAGCAACCGAAGAAGAAATTCAAGAAATCTGCTTAAAAATCCTACAGCTTTATACTCGGAAAAAGGTTCTTCTTTGTTTTTTATTCATGTTCATGTACATTTGTGTTTGACTAGAAGTATCTGTTTCTGAACAGATGGGTTTTGGCTTTTCCAGGTGGATCTGACACTCCTGGAAAGTGAGGTGGAAAAGAGAAAGCATGCCATCGAAGAGGCTAAGGCTCAAGCCAGGGGCCTGCTGCCAGGCGGCACCCCTGCCCTGGACACCACCTCGGGGTTCTCCCCTGCCCCCAAACCCGGTGAGTCATCTAGTCGGGCTGCCTCCGCAGACACGTGTCTGCAGCGAACACTTGGCAATTTTAGAAATGGGACAGGGCTCCTGAAGGGGGGGTGTGCTTCTGTCGTTTCCATTGTATGAGCAAGGGCTATGGACAGGCTTTCCAGAATGTTCTTGTTTACCCAGCCACCCAGTTGCATAGACCTGGAGCAGCAGACTGTGTTGTCAGACCCTAGAGCCACATGGCATCTGTCCTCGGTCTCTGAGGGCAGCCGAGACAGGCAGCCTTCCTGTGTCTCTATTTAGGTTCTGAGTCTCAGTCGGGGGCAGGAAGCTACGATTAGCATGTGTCTCCATGAATCCCAGACAAGTGGTGCTGCGTTGCTCTGTTAACCTGTTTCATAACACAGTAGTGTTCTGAACATCAGGTTTTAACTTTCTGTACTTGGTTCTAGCGGAATCTCCCAAAGAAGGTAAAGGGAACAAGGCTTCCCCGCTCCCTGTGAAGAACACCAAGAGGAAAACGGAGGGCGTGAAGAAAGCCAAGGCTGACAGTCCAGTGAATGGGTGAGTGCCCGAGTGCCCGAGTGCCCCCCGGCTTTGGGGGTTGGCGGAGCTCAGGTCTGTAACTGCTACTTCCTGTTTCCAGCTTGCCGAAGGGGCGAGGCAGTCAGAGCCGGAGCGGGAGCCGTGAGCAGAGCTGCTCCAGGTCCCCATCGAGGTCTGCTTCTCCTAAGAGGAGGTGTGTGCCTGGGGCCCTGCACTGGCTGGTGGGCATTTTCCCAGGGTGCAGAGGTGATGTGGCCACCCCTCAGGTGTTTGGAGCAGTTGGTCACCCGCTTGGTGGTGCTGTCCTTCACAGGAAAAGCGACAGTGGCTCGACGTCTGGAGGATCCAAGTCCCAGAGCCGCTCTCGGAGCCGGAGTGACTCACCACCGAGACAAGCGCACCGCGGTGCTCCCTACAAAGGCTCCAAGGTGAGGAGCTATCGGAAGTCCAAGGACTGCAAGTACCCCACCCAGAAGCCTCACAAGTCTCGGAGCCGGAGCTCTTCCCGCTCTCGAAGTCGCTCACGGGAGCGGGCAGATAATTCTGGAAAGTACAAGAAAAAAAGTCATTACTATAGAGATCAGCGACGGGAGCGTTCGAGGTCTTATGAGCGAACAGGCCACCGCTATGAGCGGGACCACCCCGGACACAGCAGGCATCGGAGGTGAGGCACGGGGGTCCTGGAGGGCTGCCTTCCGCCCTTGGTGCGCACACCTCAGCGTGACTGACATGTGGCTTGACTTTTTTTTGGTAAATGGTTGTTGACTTTGGACCTTGTGATGAATTTGGAGATGGAATCGAGAGGCTGTCAAAGTGCCCTTCAGGTCAGTCTGGGTGCAGCGCACACCAGTCCTGGTCAGGGCTCGTCTCAGCCACAGCCCTGTGGCGGCAAGCTGCAGAATAGATGATGCACAGCCCAGTGTGTGGATCGGTGCTAATGACAGGCTGTCTTCACTCCCATACCGATACTCAATTACGTTAAACCAAGAAAATGACTTTTAGAACCTTTGCCTATATTAGGTTGTACTTATGTACATATTTTGCAGTGTTTCACAATGAGAAAATGGCCTTAATAGCCCCTTATTCTCTGTCCATGTTGTAAATAAACATGTGTTTAATACAAGTTAAAGCTATATATGAGAACTCAGAACTTGAATTCTGTCAGCTTAAAACTTGTGTAGAGAATTCTGATTTTTAAAATGTGAAGGTATTTAGATCTGTGTTGAAAGTCGTATATTTTTATCTGCGATGCTGAGTGCAGGCCACCAGCTCCTAAATAGAGGTTTCCTATATATGCATTTTATGTGGTTAAATAAACACAATTCTCTCTACTCAGGATATTTGGAGCATTAAAGAATTTGTAGTTTGTCCTCTGCTTGCTTGTCACTGCACACAGCCCGCAGCACCCGTTCTAGTGGTGTCATCTCTGAGCTCATTAAAGTTGTGTTTTGTATCAAGCTCCTGTGCGCCTGCTCTTCTGTCAAAGGCTTCTAGAGGCCTCAGCCGTCCGCGTGTTGACACAGGCTGCTTCCTGTGGGCAGAGGGGAAGGTTTGAAAAGGACAAAACAGCTTGCACCTGAGGAACACTGGTTTGTAACCCATGGTGTGTGTCAGGCTGGAGCAGCCGCGAACAAGGCACCGGGAGCATCACCTCTGGCAATGTCCCCCTCAAAATGGGTGGCAGGCGAGTGGACAGGTAGTGGTGCAGGTGAGCAGGGTGGACCTTGGGGCTGTTTCCCAGTAATGGGTGGGCTGTGAGGCTCAAGGGCTATGTTGGGGCCTATCATACGCCCAGTGTCGGCTCTCCCCAGACTAGCGCCTCTGTGCAGGTGGGAGGGTGCTGGATATGGCCTTTCTGGTGCCATTCGACCTAGAGAGAGGTGTGTGGAAGTCATATGGCCAAGGAGATGCTATGAAAGCAATGGTCAGCACCTCGGTTCCAGGTGGCGCGCTCTCATGACCAAATCATGAAAGCCTGGGATGCTGCGGCTGGAGAAGTAGGCTGGCAGGTGTGTCCAGGCCTTCCTGCTAGAGCAGCCCCTGTGGAAGGGACGGTATAGCGCCATCCTGTGATCTCAGTTGAAGAGTGGGGCCTGGAGCCTGTGTTTTCTGCCTTCCAGTGGGCGTATCCAACACTCATTGCTTAGTTAGGTTGGGCTTGGGGATGACCAGGCCTGGCCACGCCACTTGCTACTGGTAGGACCCGCTGGCAGAGCCACCAGCGGGACTCCAAAGAGCACCGTTGCTTCCCTCTCCTTCCCAGCACCCCTGCAGGTCCATCCGGGGGACCCTTCCATCCTAGCCAACCCCAGCGAGAGAGGTGAGATGGTGCCCGGGTAGCCCCCACCCTGAGAAGCAACATGAGCTCAGCCAAACCCAATCCCCCACGGAGGCTGCTTTGGAGTTTGGAACAAAAACAAGTTTCTGGCTTTTCTTTCTACAGGTACAGTGTGGGGATTTGCTTTAGAAAAGGAAAGGATGCCCCGCCGTGTGGCTCCGTGGACTGAGTGCCGACCCATCACCAAGAGGTCACACTGGTTGGATTCCCGAGCACATCTGGGGGTTGCAATCCCCGGTTGGGGGTGCACAGGAGGCAGCCCAGTGATGTTTCCATCTCTCTCCTTTTTCTAAAAAAATGAATAAAAACATTAAAAAATATATTTTTAATTTTTTTAAATTAAAAAGGAAAGGAGCCCTGGCCGGTTTGGTTCAGCGGTTAGAGCGTCGGCCTGCGGTCCGGAGAGACCCGGGTTCGGTTCCCGCTAAGGGCACGTACTTTGGTTGCAGTTTGTCCCCGGCCCTGGTTGGTCGTGTGGGTGGCAGCCACTCGATGTGTCCCTTCACGTCGATGTTTCTCACTCTCTCTCTCCCTTCCTCTCTCTCCCTCCCACTCTATCTGTACAAAAAATGGAAAAATATCCTCGGGTGAGGATAAAAAAAAATAAAAAATAAAAAGGAAAGGAAATCCACTTTCCCGAGGTACAGGCCTCCGGACTGGCGGGACAAGGGGCGCCAGCTAAAGAACGAGGCGGCGCCCCTGGTGCGGGAGCAATGGGAGCGGAGCCCGGGCCAGCGTCGCCATCACCTATCTGACCCCCTCGTCCCGCCCAGGGGGAGGGGGAAGCGGGAAGCGGGGTCTCCGAGGCCTGCGACTCCAGCCCCAGCGGGCGAGCACCCCAGTGGCTTCCGCCACCCCTTGCACTCCACTTCCGTCGCCGGGATAAAGTCCCTTTCGCAGTCTCCAAACACCACTTCCGCCTGCCTTGGCCGATCGGGCCTTGCCCGCGCGAGTTCGGCCGCGCAGGCGCAGATGGAACCCCTTGGGATTGTGGGAGATGTAGTTTTCTTGCCTTCCTAAAGGTCCAGCGGAGTTGGTGAGACGGGGGCGGGGACGGGTCATCCGGCCGGAAACCGCGGCTTTCTAGGCCCGGTCGGGCCTGAGCCGACGCGGAGTCGGGCTCCGTAAGGGCGCCAGGGGGCGCTGGACATAGGAACCGCCGGGCCGCCGCACCCGGGGCTGACGACCGGTTTAGGAGCGGACCGGAAGTGTCTGAGCACCGCGGCGGGATGGTCAGTTCTGGTGCCCTGGGTCGGGCCTGGAGGGGTTCGGGCCTGGAGGGGCGGGCGGGCCGCCGCGGCGTGCGGGCTCCAGGGACGGCCCAGACCGCTGGGCCTAGACCGTCCTCCCGGCGCCTGGGGCCCGCCCGCAGCCATGGTGCGTCGCCCCCCGCCCCGCGTGGTCGGCGCCTCCGGTGAAGCTGAGACCCAGGGAGGGTCGGTGACCTGCCCGGGCCTCGCACTGGCGGACGCGGGGTCTGTGCTCCTCTGGTCGTTTGAGGGAGGGAGCGGTGTTTGAAGTGACGTCCTCCTGGCGGGAGCGGGACAGGAGGCCACGGGTCGCCTGGTCCGGGCACGACCGCGGCCCCCAGTCCTGCCGGCCCCGGGCTGCTGCGCGCGCACCGGCCGCCCCCGCGTGACCTCCGCGCGCACCTGTGTTCCAGCTCCGCTGAGCCCCTGCGGCCGCCGCCACCCACAGACCATGTTCCTGGCGCGAGTGACTCCCCAGCTGCTCAGACTTGCCGCCGGGGCAGGTAAGAGGGCCCGTGGGGCAGCCGGGCGGGGTGCGCCCGGGAACGCGCGCCCCACCCGCCTCCCGCCCGGGCCGGCCACACCTGCTCCCCTGTCCCTGTGAACATCCAAGCATCGCAGGGGAAGTCTGGGCCCGAGAACTGCAGCAGGGGTTCGGGCCCGTCTGTGCCGGCCCTTCTGCCCCGGAGTCCGGTCCGGCCCAGCTGGCCGTGCTCAGGTCCAGTGCAGCCCTCTGGGGGTAACCGCCATCGTGTTTCCCGCAGGCCTCCGTCGGCCCCGGCTTGTCTCAGGAGTGCTGGGCGGCCATGTCTACAGGCCCCGCTACAGCACGCAGCCAACAGGCCCCAGTGGGGTTGCCATCCTCCCTGGCGGGGGCGTCCAGCTGGAGCTCGAGGAGATGCTGGTCCCCAGGAAGATGTCCATCAGCCCCCTGGAGAGCTGGCTGACCACCCGCTACCTCCTACCCAGACTGGACGCTGGGGCCCTAGGGACTGTGGCTCCAGCCCCGCTCTACAAATGTCCACCTAGCCAGGTGGGGGAAGGGGCCGAGCAGGGGGATGAGGGGGTCCAGGATGCACCCCAGGTACAGTGCAAAAACGTGCTGAAGATCCGACGGCGGAAGATGAATCATCATAAGTACCGAAAGCTGGTCAAGAGAACCCGATTTCTGCGGCGCAAGGTCCGGGAAGGGCGCCTGAAACGGAAGCAGGTACGTGTGGGTCCTGGGCCCTGGGACCCAAGGTTGCCGAGGGTGCATGGCTGAGCCACAGACCTGTAAGTGGCCCCGCCCTCTGCCCTTGCAGGTCAAGTTCGAGAGAGACCTGAGGCGCATCTGGCTGAAGGCAGGCCTGAAGGAAGCCCCTGCAGGCTGGCAGACCCCCAAGATCTACCTGCGAGCCAAATGAGTGTGCAGTGCCTCGGCCCCACCCCTCGGTGCTGCTGTCCATTGTAATAAACGTTCACAGCTCAGCTGTTCTGCCGCCTGGAACCTCTTCTACCTGCTGTGGGCTATCCTGGGATCGAAGCTGGTGCCAGCCCCTGGTTAGAGGCTAAAGGCCCAGCTGGAAGATGAGCAGTCCCTTCCCCAAGCTGGCCTTGTCCTGGTGCCGGGCCTGCGGGAATGACGGCCTCCCTGTCTAGGAATGTGTGCCATGGGAACAGCTCTGACTAGATGCCCAGCCCTGCCCGTAGGGCACTTATGTTCCACTGGGGAGGCAGCCTCTCAATGGCCACAGAGTTGACAGAAGTGTCACAGACACGAGGGGTCGGGAGCGTCCATGTGAGGTGTATGAGTGGGGCTCAGGGAGGGCCTCAGTGGGGAAGATGGGGAGGGGAGGCAGGAAAGGCCCCAGTGCCCCCAGAGGTGACAGATGATGCCCTGCAGGCTCTAAGGACCTGGGTCTTGATTGGCCCTCAGCCATCCTGCTCATCTGGGGTTGGGGACCTCTGGCCTGCTGTGTGCTCCTCGTCCTCTGCCCCTTCCTGGGCCCTGAGTGGGGGTGGCCTGGAGGGTGTGCTCTGGCAGTTCAGGGTTTGGCTGGCTGAGGAAGGTGCCATTTTTGGAGTTAGGGGAGCCCTGGAGCCTAAGCGAGCCAGCAGACCCCAGCGGCTATGGGTTCCTTCTCAGGGGAGAAGAGGGTGCATTATCCCTAACTGGGGGGCCTGGGGCTTCTGTGTGGGCTTGGGGGTGGGATTTGGGTTGATGTGGGGCAGGCTGGTTCCTTCCCTCAGCCCCTGCTCTGCTTCCTGACACCTGAGTCAGAGGAAACCAGTGCAATCTCTCTGAGCTGCCTCCTGTCCCTCCGCCCCTGAAGGGCCACTTCCCACGGTCTGTGGGGCTTCTTGTCTGGTCACTGAGGTGTGGGCGGGGCCTGGGCTTGCGTTCCCTTCGGAGGAGGCTGATCTTGGAGAGGCTGGAGTACTAGTTTCCCTGGAAGGGGACAGACCACGCTGTGCTGATTACTCCTGTTGCTTCAGGTAGGCGAGCAGGCTTCTGACAGCTGGGTCCTGCAGGGGACATGGCCCTGCGCCTGTGCTCACCAGCTGTGTGTAGTGGGCCGCCAGGGGGACAAGTTGGCCTTGACCTGGAGGGGACCTGAGGCTATTGAGGTCAGGAGCCTGCTTCTGCTGATGGCCACAAGGGGGCAGCAGTCAGGCCCCGCCCCCCTTCCCCACTGCAGCCCCTGGGGTCTGGGCTGAGGACCTGGAAGTTCAGAGTACCCTGCTGGCTCAGTCACCCGAGAGGGCCCTAGCTGAGGTCACAGGCATCATTCTGGGGCCTTGGTCTCCCGATGTGGGTGGCGTGCGGTCCCAGGCCAGGGCCTCAGTGGTGGACCGCCCTGAGTTGGAATGAACCATGCCTTCCCGGGGCCAAGTACGGCCTCAGCTCCGCAGGGCCTCTGCGGCAGTCGCTGCCCCGTGGCTCACCCCACCCTTCCTGGGCTGGTGGGAGGGAAAGCATGGTGCTCAGTCGTTAGAGCATTGGAGACGAAGCCTCTGTCAGGAGCTGGGCTGCCGTGGAGTTCTGGGGGTGCAGCTGGCCAGCCTGTGCATCTGAGGGTGACGGTGCCACAGGGCCCACCCACCGCAGCCCCCTTCATCCCGGGGCAGGTGCCTCCAGCCACTTGGCCTCACGATTCCTCTGGGGCACCTGGCCGTACCTGGGGGCGGCCTGGTTGTCACGGGAGGGGCAGTGGGTGGAGGCCGGGGGTGTGCTAAATGCCCTACAGTGCACAGGGCACCCTCCCTTGGAATAGTCAGCCCAGGCACCAGTGCTCAGTCGAGACCTCCGGTCCAGAGGCCGTGATCCTGTGGGCAGCTCGGGGCCTGCCCAGCCCCCTCCTGCCCTGCAGCCTCCCTCCCAGCCCCTGCTGGCTGGTGTGTGCACACCCCTGCTGCCTGTGGCTTGGATGCCTCTGGGCCCAACCAGGAGCCCAGGAGGCGGGACTGGGTTTTTATTTTTATCTTTGCAGCCCTTCCCAGGCCACAAGAGGCTGCCCCTCCCCTCTTCCTTGTGGTGCCTCCACCAGGCTGTGGGAAGTGCATCCCCTTTTCCCTGTTGTCTCCCTTGTTTTGATCCTGGGCACCCCCTGAGAGAGAGTGCAGAGATGGGTATGGGTGGGGTGGGGGAATGGGGGCCTGTAGGTTGCATGTGGTGGTGTCCTGGTCTGTGGCCTGTGGCTTGTCCCTTGACCCAGTCTCCCCTAGCAGGTGCCTAGGACTTGGGTTCCAGCCAGGGGGGACCCCAGCCAAGGCCATAGCTGATGGGGGTGGTGTGGGGCACTTGCTGGGGACCCTGCCTCTGGGTGGCTGCTCTATGCTCAGGGCACAGCCAGTGTCTTCTGGCCTGGGCGTTCACACCCATGTGGTGGGCCAAGGAAGGAGCCAGGCAAGGCCCAGGCCCAGTGGGAGGACACTCATGCTGGACATTAGGTCCTGGTAAGGACCAGCTGGGGCTTCTCCCAGCTCAGATGCTCAGGCAGACACAGCAGCATCCCTGCGGGCCCCATGCTGTGAGTGGGAAGCAGAGGCTGGAAAAATAAACCTGCTTCCCTGGCCCAGCCCTGGTCGGCTCACATGGGAAGGACACCTGGCGGGAGGTGGGAGGAAGCATTCCCCTCCTGGGCCAAGTTTTGCAAAAAGCCCTTGAAGGGCTCTCCAGCTTCAGCCCTCAGAATGGGCGGAGAAGTCCAGACCTGGTGTGGCGTTAGCCTCCAGGTGGGGCCAGAGGAGGACAACCCCTGCCACCTGGCGGGGCACCCAGAGGCCAGCCCATGCTCCTGAGAGTTTAGATCCTTCGGTTGTGTGGCTGGGAACGTTTCCTGAGCGTGTTCCTGTCCTACTGACACCAAACGCACCGTGACTGTCAAATCTCTCCAGTGTGCAGAGTTCCCGTTCTTACGGTGCAGGTGCACAGCTGAGAACGCAAGAGCTGGGAGGGGAGTCGCACTTCCAATACCCGAGGAGTGTTCATCCTTTAAGAAGAGTCCTTTTTGCCCTGGCCGGTTTGGCTCAGCAGTTAGTTAAACTCTCCAGAGAGTCCCAGGTTCGGTTCCTGCTAAGGGCACGGACCTTGGTTTCGGTTTGTCCCCTGCCCCGGTTGGGGTCGTGTGGGTGGCAACCACTCAATGTGTGACTCTCACATTGGTGTTTCTCTATCTCTCTTCCTCTCTCCCTCCCCATCTATCTGAAGATAAATGCAAAAATGTCCTCGGGTGAGGATTAAAAAAACAAATTTCTTTTCTTGCAGAATCTACAGAAAGAAGGCAGGGAGGGAGGATGGTTGATCTGTGGGTGAGACATAAGTTCATGCAGAGAGCAAATACTGCCCAGGAGACCTCACCGCAAAAAACAAGACTCTAGTGTGTAAGTCAGGTGGGAAGTGTGGACTTTCACAATTTACATTAGAAAAAGTTTAGACAATATTAAAAAATTTCTTTATTCATTTCTTTTAGAGAGAGGGAAGGGAGAGGGAGAGAGATAGAAACATCGATGAGAGAGAACATCAACTGGCTGCCTCCTGCATGCCCCCCACTGGGGATCAGGCCCACAACCTGGGCATGTGCCCTGACCAGGAATTGAACCGGCGACCTCTTGGTGCAGGGTCAACGCTCAACCACTGAGCTGCATGCCCCCCACTGGGGATCAGGCCCACAACCTGGGCATGTGCCCTGACCAGGAATTGAACCGGCGACCTCTTGGTGCAGGGTCAACGCTCAACCACTGAGCCACACTGGCCGGGCTAGATAATATTTTTAATCAACATGAATCCTTGGACAAATTAGTCTGGTTTTGTACTTTTGATTTAAAACAACTATTTAAAACAAGCTGGTGGGGCAGCTCAGGTGGTTAGAGCGTCGTCCTGATATGCCAAGTCTGTGGGTTGGCTCACACAGGGCAGCCAATGATGTTTCTCTCCCTCTCACCCCCCTTCTCCCCTCTTTCTCCAGTCAATACATTTTTTAAAATAATTAAAATGACTATGTATCTTTCCCAGACTTTATGACAGTGTAGAAGATAACGTGACCTGATATAGCTTCTGGAAGAATTAGACGTACTTACTTATGCAAAGTTTAATTAAACTTTCCTAAATTTCCTGGTCTGGTTTTATGGGTCAGGTAAGTTTTTTATTTTTTCCAAGAAACATTTTAAGGTCTTATAAATACATGTTAATATATATGTTTAACTATTCAAATTAAACTAACTAATAAAAACACCCAGCCGATGTGGCTCAGTGGTTGAGCGTTGACCCTGCACCAAGAGGTCGCCGGTTCAATTCCCGGTTTGGGCACATGCCCAGGTTGTGGGCCTGATCCCCAGTGGGGGGCCTGCAGGAGGCGGCCAATCGATGTTCTCTCTCATCGATGTTTCTGTCTCTCTCTCCCTCTCCCTTCTCCTCTCTGCAAAATCAATAAAAAATATTTTAAAAAGTAACTAATAAAATAACATATATTTTATAAAAGACATATCCCTGTGAACCTCAGATAGTGCTGAGTTGTCTGCCTTATACTCTTTTTTTTTTTTTCCCTATCCTCACCCGAGGACATTTTTGCATTTATCTTCAGATAGAGTGGGAGGAAGAGAGAGAAACATCGGTGTGAGAGACACATCGAGTGGCTGCCACCCGCACGACCCAACCAGGGCCGGGGACACACTGCAACCGAGGTACATGCCCTTAGCGGGGACCGAACCCGGGTCTCTCGGGACTGCAGGCCGACGCTCCAACCGCTGAGCCAAACCGGCCGGGCTGCCTTAGGCCCTTGCACACGCCTCCCCCTCCATCCTGGTTCTCCCAGTGGCCGTGTGGCTTGGCTGCTGCTCCAGCCGAAGCCGAGGTCTGCGTCCCCTCCCTGGATCTGGGCTGTGACCCGCTCTGACCAACAGTGTGGTGCCAGGCTGCCCAGCTCAGGCCTCCTGGGGCTGGCAGCGTCCCTCTGTGGGAGGAGGACACCTAGCCTAGGCTGCTGGGTGAGGAGGTCATGGAAGGTCGGACCACCTGGGCAGA